GACTGGGGAATGGGCACAGTATGCACTGTGAGCCTGACACAGAAGCTGGCAGCAGTGGCAGACAACTAAGTGCAATTACATTACATAGAAAAAATAAATTAAAAAAAGCATACCCTTATCCCTAACCTAGCTATGCTTTTCCCTATCTTATGAACAGCAGCTACACTTTCCCTCCTCTTACTAAGCATGCAGCTTGAGAACGAATCTAAAATGACAGCCGTCCAAAGAGGTATCCGCTGCGGCCGCTAATTACGAAATGCGTGTCCGCCGGACCGTGAGGCGTTGTAGTCAAAAGCTTCACTCAATGATGATCAATAGCTAACAGAATCAACATATGTTCAAGACGTCAGTACGGCAACTCAATACGCGAACCGCTTAGAACCGCCTCACGCGGAACCGCTGCCTCGCGCCATCACTAACAGGAGGTTCATTTGCTCTTTACCAATAGCAAGCACAGCGCATGCACTATGGTTGCTATGAAAACTCCCTAGCCGGAGCGCCTAGTGCTGGCTAGGGAGTACAGGAAGGGAGTGACGTGACATCACTTAGTTCAGACTTCCGCAAGCTGGCAATGAAGCCAGTGTGATAATGTCACTGGCGAGATTTGTCCTGCTTGGGGATGGATCACAAGCAGAGCAAATCAAACAAGATTGCAGGAGAAGTGCAGGCGGAGGGGGTGAAGGCCAGGAGTTAAGATTAACACCCATGGAGTGACGATGGAACAGAGGAAAAGGGAGTAAATCTATTTATATTACATTAACACCATGCATCTTTGTGATATATATATTGTATTCAATGTGTATGGGAGCAAATTTAGCAATTTAATTTTTTAGGTAAATGTTTCCATAACAGGTTTACTTTGAAGAATTATCTTATTGTCTATAAGAAGACAGATGATGCCATCTATTTTTCATGTGTATTACAAAACTAAGGTTTTGCAATACTAGTTATAACAGGTTCACTTTAAAGAATTATCTTATTGTCTATAAAAAGACAGATGATGACAACTATTTTTCATGTGTATTACAAAACTAAGGTTTTGCAATACCAGTAAAATCCCACAATGTCACTCATAAATCATCCTTATCATTACATTTCTGAATAAGTCTTTGAAAAACATTGCCCTTCAATGTAACCTTATTACATTATTTGTACGATTCAGTCTATTAATTTCTATAGCTAGCTCGCTTTTTAAAGCAGTCTTTACTTATTTTCAAAATCACAAGCTGTACTGTTGCCACTTTGACCATTTATTCGACTTTGTTAAATTCATACTCATGTACTTTAATGCTTTTTGTCCTTGATAATCATAATTGTGTAATGGTTTACATGTCAAAGGCAGATTGTTTAATAAAAAAATATAAAAAAATGTACCCTTGGGCTGAAGCCCCTGGCTACTTAACATTACCCTTGATATCAACTGACATGAGAAAACTAATTGAAATGTCAAAAGGTTCTTAATAAACTATAGGAAAGAAAGTAACTACTTAACTGTCTTATCCTACGCCTAAATATTATTTTTTAAAATACAGAATATTCATCGACAGGTTAACAAGATTAAACATGTTTTCTGGGACACATATCACATATCCATATTGATGGGCAGCATATGAAAAGGGTTGCCCTGTAGTATGTAGAATTTATAAGAAGGTGTATAAGATTAAGTAATTAGGCAATGAAGAATCCTGCAAAATATGCATTAAACCTACTGCAGGGCAACCCTTTTCATGCATTTTCATAAATATGATAAATTATATGTGTACCTGAAAACATGATATATCTAGTCACTTGGTTCATTAAAAACAGAATTTTAACATTTAAAGTAGCTGATTTCAAAAAGTATGTTGCCAATAGGACTCTGATTATTGCAACATGAAAGACTGTTTAAGTGAATGGACTAGTTCGCTGTTCCTTTTCTTCAATGAACATGGAAGTAAATTGAGATCGTTAAGGATGCTAGGATGCCCAATAAAGTTGCAACAACAACAACAACAAAAAAAAAAGGGGGAGGAGCTTATTTCCGAAAAAAGGCGCGAAAATTTGCCTATTTAAAAATGGAACTGACTGAATGGACTCACACTTTGATAAAGGCTTTGGCTGAAA